ATTTTCCTCCTTTAGTTTCAGTGCTGTAACGTCTATAATACATAAAACTTAAATAGAAGATTATAAAGAACATAATCTTCCTTCTATGCAGAAACAAAAAGAAAGAGCCTTTATCTCATAATTTACTCTGCCTCTTGCTATAAGAAAAAAATGTGCATTGCATTGGAAATTTGAACATTTCACATTTCTGCATTTAATATTTTAAGGCATGAGAAAAACATCATTATGTTTTTCTGTTTTTACATGCAGGTGCAACTTAAAGCAATAGATTTGTCACTGAGAAGTTATATATTAGTAGAATATTCATAAATGCTACCTTAAATCAATATATAGTTAAACTGATAGGCAAAGGATTTACTTGGCCAGTACTTTGTTTGTAAAGTCAGAAATCTTGTATAGCCTCCAAAGGTGCCCTTTTGTTTTAATTTGGATTTCTATATGCTGGATTTCTTAAAATGAGACTAGTCAATTTAGTTGATTATAACGGAGATTTGTCCTTAAGATTAAATGAACATTATATAGATATGTGGGTTTTCAGGGCAGAAGGTCCTGGTTTCCATCAGATTCTGATCTTTGATCTTGTTTTAAAAATAAGGCTAAAGAATTCTAGGTAAGGGTCTACCGCTGAGGATACTAAGGCTCTGGGCTCTTCTCCCTCCCTGGGTATACCCTTGGCCAGCCACACTGCACAGCAGGCCGGAGCCCCAGCCTGGAACTTGAGATCGTACTCCACGTGCAGGAGAGGATTGGTGGGGCTTTCTCAGTCCCCTTTCATTAGACGAACTGGATGGTTTGGATCCTGTGTGACAGTGAAGCAGTTTTGCTGCTGTACTGGGTTGAATAGTATTCTCCGCCCCACCCCCAAGCTGCCATTTCAAGTCCACCTGGAACTTGTGAATGTGACCTTGTTTGCAAATAGGGTCTATACAGATATAATCAAGTTGGGACAAGGTCATACTTGGTTAATCCAGTGACTGGTGTCCTTATTAAAGAAGGGAAATTTGGGACACAAACATAAACCCAAAAAGCAGTAGAATAAACAAATCAGGAAGTTTTGTGTTTGTTTGTTTAATAACTAAAAGAAGCCCGGAGATGGGCAGTCCAAGCAAGTATAGCAGCTCCATGATGTGCCCAGTGCCCCCGGCTGCCTCTGGTTTACTGCCCACAGCCCTTCAGCCATAATCCTCATCCACATGCTTGTAGGATGACTTGCGGAGTGCCTGCCAGCATTTCAGGTCACGAAAGTGGGAAGTGTTGGGCGCCTGGGTGGCTCAGATGGTTAAGCATCTGCCTTCAGCTCAGGTCATGATCCCAGACTCCTGGGATCAAGCCCCACATCAGGCTCCTTGCTCAGCGGGAAGCCTGCTTCTCCCTCTCCCTCCACTTGCTGATCCCCCTGCTTGTGCTCTCTCTGTCAAATAAATAAAATCTTTAAAAAAAAAAAAAATGGGAAGTGTAAAGGTCCAAAAGGCACATACTGAGTCAGACCCAGCGAGGAGCTTTCCAGAAGCTCCATCCGGGGACTTTTCTTACGCCTCATTGGTCAGAGCTGTGTCACGTGACCAACCTTGGCTGTGAGGGGAGGTGTGCACGGTGTTGCCCTGAATGAGATCTGGGACATGTTGATGAGGAAGGAATGGAAGGTGGAGCTGAGGTGGCCCACCAGTGCGCCACCGCCTCTAGACCCAGGAGACAGTACAGCAGTGAGCATCCAGGCCTGTTGGCTGTTCAGGCTCTGCTCAAGCCAGAACACAGGGGGGAAGTGGCCTTAGTCCCACTTAGGACTGTCATGAAAGACAGGGGCTTCTCTTGTTCCAGCTTGCCCATACAGCCATACTTTCCACCTTCATCGCCACCACTACCCAAGTATGGGTTTGTGGCATCTAAGACAGGACACTGGGGTGACTTACTTCCTGGGATTTTCAGGCAACGTGACCACTATGATTTTGTAACATCTCAGGTAGACACTGATACTTCCCTAGTGGGATAATGAATCATATATTTAAACTCAGGTACACAGAAATCTCATCTGAAGTTTCATTCCCACCAACGGCAGTCCAAGGCTTAAACTTGCCAATTAGAGGCAACCTGGTCTCTTACAAATTAATCATCCCATCTGAACACATACCCACAGTTAGGGTTTCTCCACTTTGTCTCTTCTCCTTGCCAGGATGGTGTCAGGGTGCTAGAATGGCTCATATGTCTCTTTGGTATTTGAGGAAGGGCCTCTGAGTGCCCTCTGGGTGTTTGTTGGCCTCTAAGGAGAACTCTATTCCTGCATAGTTACGGGCTTCCGTTGCCACTGGAGCCACTGACTGACTGCCCTATTAGCCTGTAGCCTATGACCCTAAAGGCCTTCGGTCCTGGTTGCTGTTGACCATGGGCCCCACATTACACTGGATGCAGGAGCAGGCCATTTGGCCAAACCTTTGGCTTCGGGATATGTCACCCCACAGACTATCGAAGGGCAGGCGGGAGCTGCAGACAGAGTCAGGGCAGCAGGCCCTCTTTGCCTGACCCCCTGATTCGCTGCATGTGGCCTCCAGTGGCCTCCCCTCCATTAGCTCCTTGGACCCAAGAAGCACCCCCCTGCCATGCTTCTTCCAGACGTCGGGGTGTTCCTGCGCCCATTAGCTGAGCTTCCTTTCAGGGCTTGGGAGTTCTTCCCCTGCTGCCCCCGCTTACACAGCAGAAGCTGGGAAATCTGCCCCACGTTGCAGCTCAGTGGGGCGGAACTCACCACCCCACCAAACTACCCAGCTACTACGCGTCGTGCCGCCCCAGGCAGCCCTGAGACCCTCAGACCTCTGCCTTAACAACCCCGGCAGTCCTAAAAACAAAAGCAACCTTTTCCGTGCTCTAAAAGGCCTACATAACTGGTTCTAGTCAGGTCCCTGCCGTTGGCTGTCGTCTGTGTCTTGTTGAGGGGATTCCATGTTCTTCTTTTGTTGAGAGAGAACAAATTGTTACAGGCTTTTAAGGAAACCAAAAACATTCTCTCTCTAATTATATCTATTATTCCATTCCCATTCATCTTGCTTTCTTGTTTTGAAGCAGGCCTTTATTATTAGCCAGAAACTACAGTCACGTTTTCTGAGTAAATCAAAGCTGTGTTTTTCTGCCGTGGTGTGTAAGAGGAGTTGTCGGCATGGTTTAGGGACTTACTGTTGTTGAAGATTCTGACAGACTGTCCGGCCAGGCTCATGTTGATGGTATCAGTCTTTGCCTTCTCCTTTTCTGGAAATACTTTTGGAAATATTTAGCATAGCAGTGTTTTGAAATCCAAGTTCCAAGAGTGTTTTGCCACATTTGCTCCGTCAGTCAGTACTTAACTGTGTCCCTAAAATGCACCAAGCCTCGTTCTAAGGGCTGAGAGTAGAGCCCTGAGCAAGACAGTCTAGGAGCTTATATCCTGTTGGGGGAGACGGATGACACGTAAGCCCGCAAACGCATGTGATCATGCTGGCTGGTGACAGGTGCCTAGCGAGAGTATGGGAGCAGAGACGCCGTGGCCGTGACCGGAGGGTGACCTGGCCTCCCTTGGTTTGGATGGGCAGGAAGGCTGCCCTGAGGAGGCAGCCTGGGCCCGGAGTTGAACCATGAGGAGGAGCCGGTCCACGCGGCTGTGGGCCCAGGGGCTGCGGGCCAGGAGAAGAGTGGGCTGGCTCTGCCACTGGCACCAGCAGGGCAGGGGTAAGCAAGCAGGGAGTGACATGTCGCTCTGGTGGCCGATGGGGGCCGGGCATGGAACTGAGGAGTCCCCAGTTGAGACTGGGGCAGCTCTACTGGATGAATGACTAAGCGTGGAGCAGGTAAGACCTTCTAAGTAGTTGTACTTTTTTTTTTTTTTTAATTTGAGATAGAGTGAGAGTGAGAGAGAGAGCACAAGCAGGGGGAGCGGCAGGCAGAGGGAGAAGCAGGCTCCCCACTGAGCGGGGAGCCAGATGTAGGGCTCGATCCCAGGACCCTGGGATCACGATCTGAGCTGAAGGCAGACGCTCAATGACTGAGCCACCCAGGCGCCCCGAGGTGTGCTTTAAGGCCACAAAATCAGAAAGCAGGTGTTAATGGAGGGTGAGCGTACTTATTGCAGTGATTCTCCAACTGGTGTGCATAAAGGTATCTTTTTTAAAGTGTGTTTTATTGTCACCCCCACCAATGCATTCTCCTGCCTAGCCCCGTCGTGGGGAGAGGGCTCTGCTCCCTCGCCCTGAGCTCCCCTGAGAATCCAGCTCAGTAGGCCCCTGAGAGGGCTGTGTGCCTCCCTCAGGCGCGCGGTGGGGGAGCGCTGAGCACCGTTGCATGTTGGACCTCCTGGTGGGCAGCTCGGTGCAGTACTGAGCCTGGCGGTCACAACTGACTTGCCGGATCCCTCAGACCAGGCCTGATGAAGGACTTCTCACGTGGAGGGTGAGCCTTCTGGAGGACGGAGAGAAGCAGCTCCTGCGACGATGTCAGGCTGACTCCGTAGGCCTTGTTGTCTGATGGCACCTGCAGTGCCGTGAGTTCGTCCTATCATTCTTACCATTTTGTGGAACTGACAACATGCTTTACTGTTTAAATCTTTAAAGACGGTATCTTTACTAACTTCAGTCACCTGGGAGGGCCTGGCCTTCAGAGAGGTGAGTTAACATCACTGAACCATGAGGCAGTGTAGGAAGGCCAGGCTGAAACGTCTCCTCCCCGAGGCTGGATGAATGCTCTAGGCCGTTCACATCAGAGGTTAGCAGGAGGTGCCCGGGTCTCCCTGCGGAAGTAAAGGCCCATCCGTCATCATGAGAACGTATTTTGGCGCGTTGGTGGGAAGGCTGTGCATATTAGGCTCAGTGCTCCCCTCTACTCTCCCCGACACCTGCCTCGTCTGCAGCTGGGCAGAGCATCCTTGGTGGAAATACTTGCCATGAAATTGGACAGAAAAATTTCCAAGCAAGTTATGGTGTGGCTAGTAGATAAGTTATACTCAGAGCATTCGTTCTAAAATGTCATTCTTTTGTTTTCAGTAAATATTCAAGATGTGATATTACAAGAAAATTTGGAAAAAGAAGATCAAATTCTGGTTTCTCTGGCAGGATTAAAACAGGTATGTCCATTTGACCTGACTTTGCAATCCACTGGCCTTTCTTCTAGTGCCTGTTGGGGAGGGCACGCTATGGCATGGCCTACCATGGTATTAACGCCAGCCCCTCATTTCCTCCCGGGCAGAGCCCATCCTGACTCCCCAGCTCCTTACACCTCTTGGTCCTACTGGCAATTATGTCTGACGAGCTTGCAGCTCAAGCTAGTTGTCTGTCCCCAGCCTTGCTTCTTCCTCTTACCAAAGCCATTCCGTTTGTTCCTCACCCGGAGCTGGTGTTGTGTGGTCCAGCAGCATGTTCAGTTGTTCATCCATAAATCCATGCTGTCTTTGGAGCACAAGTAATAATCACCACCCACAGCAGGCCTCAGACCCACAAGGACCATGTTTCCCCAACGCTTGGAGGGCTGCGTGGAACATACATGTTAATGAAGAGAGCGTGCTGCTCTCAGATGTCTGCCTTTGTTATTAACAGCTCAGCCGGGTGCAGCCACTTTGGTAGCTAAGGGCTGTTCCGTGGGGCTGGGTAGCTAAGCAAATGGTACTTCTTGCCCAGGATGTGACGCCCAGGGTTCACCCTGCGAGAACCTGGCCATTAGGACTGAAATTTTCCTTGGTCATTAGTAAGTCCATGGCTTTGATAGAGTTGGATTTTTTTTCTGTTACTCCTTTCTTCTGGTAATATATTCATATCCATACTATTAAAAAGTGGTCAGGGATAAGTCTAGTTTAAATGTTAGAGGTTTAGCTAGCATTGTGAAACAAACTCATTCATCTCTTTCATTTATTTTCTTCTTTTTGAAAACTAGATCAAAGACATTCTAAAAGGTTCTCTGCGTTTCAACCAGAGTCAGCTGGAAGCTGAGGAGAATGAGCAGATCACCATCTCAGATGACCACTACTGCTCCAGTGGCCAAGGCCAAGGCCGGGGCCAGAGCAACGAAATGCCTGGGGCCACCAAGCAGGTATAAGAGCTCTGGTGAACAATGTCACAGTAACTTGATGGGGGCACATCCACATAAGGTCTTGAAAGTTGTGAATAACAAAAACTTTAACAAAGTTATTTCACATTACCATGTGCGAAGTTCAACTATAAAATACCACAGGTGGCCTGACCCAGAGGTGCTCTGTAGCCCAGCAAATTGCATACTCCAGTGCCCCACGGGAGACCATTGTCTCCTAGAGTTGTGCAGTGTACAACCTACAGACCTGTATGCAGCAGCTTTAGCCTGAACCTCCTGCCAGTCCTGTTGTGTGGCCTTAGAAAGCCACGGCTCTGCCTCAGCTATCGGGTAGGGGCCTCCAGCTGATGCCTCCAGTCCCCGTTAGCACAGGAAGTACTGTTCCTACTTTTCTGATGCTGTCCTGAGTGGACTCCTCTTGGCTGCAACCTTTTCTGCCCTCATATGGAGAAGGGCTTCTCATTAATGTCTATCCTCTAAGGGAATGAGGTCAGCAAACTTTCTCCATAAAGGATCAGATAGTAAATATCTTAGGATTCGTGGGCCACCTGTGGTCTGGTCTCGTATGTTTTTGCATTTGGTGTGTTTGTTTGTTTTTACAACCTTTAGAAATGTATAAGCCATTATCATCTTTCAAGCCATACAGAAAGAGGCCAGAGACCAGATTTGGCTTATGGGCCATAGTTTGCTGCCCCCTGCTCTCAAGGTGTTGACATCGTGTGTAATTTATTCTAACATAGAAACACAGATTTTACCAGTGAGAAGGGATCCAGGAAATTCCTCATGGGCTCAGTCCTATCTGCTTATTTTACCAGTGAGACAATGAAGGCCCAGGAGGTGCACAGGCTCGCCAGGCATCGTGTTTTCAGAACTCCTGTCCTAACCCAGCAAGCTTCCAGCTCCACCATGCTTCCTCACTATACTTTATCTGCTAGGACTAAAAATCCCTAATAATATGTTTTTTAATGGCTTAGAGAGTCTCATCTTGAAAAATGAACATTAGCAAAATCTCATCTAAGGCTGTTTCTCAAAAACTAGCATCCAGATGCTTGTAAATTATTTATTTTTTATGATTTGAAAAAATGGTATTTTAGAATGGAATTTTTTTATTTTAAGAGTACTCCCCCCCCGCCCCCACCCCGCAAAGAGTACTTTTCAAGAAGAGAGACCTTATGTGGTTAATTTCATCCAGCCTTAAAAGGAAGGTTTCATGGAGCCATTAGTCTGCATCTTTGGCCACAGGGATTCAGCATTAACGTTGCAAGTTTAATTTGATTAGTTCCTCCAGATTCTCCTTCCCTAAACAGATGTTTAATTTTTCACTAATCATTTCTTTATTCAAATGTTGTTGAGCTTAGGCTTACCCCCAACCATTTTTAATTGACAATTTTATTCTAAACTTCAGTGTGATTTTTTTTTTTGTAGTTGAATATATAAAAGTAATACTGAAAAAGACCTTTCAAAAACACTAATGAATTTGCTACATTTAAAGCTTCTTGATTATACTTTGCCATTGTTTTTCCCGGTTCTCATATTTGTAAGAACTACCCGTGGCCACCACTGCCCCTGCAGAGCCCTGTGTGCATACTGGGTGCGCTGGCCATGAGGCACAGGTGACAAGAACTAGGACATGCCCTGGTGCTGGCAGAGCTGAATTCCTGTGCAGCATCCGAGAGGCCTTTTGCCTCCGCATGTGCTTCTAAAACACCGCCAACCCATTCTGCACCAACACCCCACCACTGCCTTCTGTGCCTCTGTAGGGTTAGGTGGAAAAGGAGAAAAGTGGGAAAAGGGCAAATAGTAGGGCTTTCCTTTTTTTCTCATTCCTTCCATGGCTTCTTCCCCAAGGGTATTAGCAGTTTATAAAAAACCTGTCCTCCTAAAAGAGGTTTTACCCGAGGAAGGGAAAAATAGGGAAGCAGTGCTCTCTCCTCATCTTCAGGGGAGGAAAGCCAAGTGAAGTCCCAGATGAAGCAGCGAGTCCCCCCAAAAGCTGAGTGTCTGAGGCCTTGCGGGAATCTGGACTAGACTCATACAGGGGCCCCCCGACAGGAAGTCCTGGCCCACCATCTTTCCTTAGGAACCTGTCCCAAGCCTTGGGTGGCAGTCAGGCCTTGTAGCTGGCTGACTTACTTTCTCACTGTTTGTGGGGACAGGGGTGGGGCTGGGGGCTGGCTCTGGACAGGAACATGTGTGCCAAGTGAGAGTTCTGAAGGCTTTTCCCCTCCTGCCTCCCAAATGTGAGCTGAGGGCCTGCTGTGCCAGCCAGTGGGTGTTCAGGGTTATGGATGTAGCCCCTGCTCACGAGCTTCCTGTTAAATGGAGGGCCAGAAACTGGGGGGTGGGGGGGAGGGAGGGGGAGGGCAGCGCTAAGGCAGGCTTTTGTGACATTTCTGGAGATGTCATCACCACATGTGGGGTCTGTGGTAGGTTGTGCCACAGCTCATCCCTAACTTAGGAATGTTTTTGCTTTCTTGGTTTAGCACTAAAGTATGTGTGAAGGATAATGCAGAGGACTGGGCTGACCCACCTTGGGGCAGGTGGCTCAGGGTCCCCCTGCCAGTGCCCTTCCCCGTCAGGAACTTCAACAGGGCTCTTCCTTTGTGGACATGCACATGCCCCACTCCCCACTGGCATGTTGATGGGGATGTGGCTAATACTATTCTTTCCATTTGATTCACAAATCTTGTCTCTAGCTCTGAAAGTGGCAGGTGCAAAATTGTATTCTGTAAAGAGAGCAACATTTTGTCCCTCCCTCCCAGCATCTGTCTTTCACATACTCTTCTGGGAGGCTTTTGGTGAACTTGACCCAGATCTATGCCAGTGGCAGGTAGGACCTTGTAGGACCCTGGATTCATTAGTCAACCAGCTCCTATCACATGCCTCACTGGTGCTTGGGGCCCTATTTTTACCTGTATGGTCTATAGCTGCATTGTCTAAATATAGTAGCCACTAGCCACATATCTATTTAAAATTAACTTATTAAGATTCAACAGAATTAAGTTAAAAATACAGTTCCTCCGTCATACTAGCCACCTTTCAAGTGCTTGATAACCACATGTGGTTGGGTGCTACTATATTAGCATAGAAAGAGACCACTTCCATCACTCTAGAACATGTCTGCTGAACAGCTGGTCTATAGTTGGGCTCACCTGCTTCTACTCCATGACCCTAAACTTACGATCCTAAACAAAAGGTAAGAAATGAGGCAGGGTGAATTGGCAGGGTTGGGGGAGGGGTGCTGTATATTGTGGCGGTCCTGGCCAGTTTTAGGCAGGACTGACAGGTTGAAAACCTTCTTGAATTGTATAGTACATGCCTGTGTTTGGCAAAAAGAGACGACTGACCTAGGAATTTCCAGTTTTTGTAAATGACATAAACAGAACCAGGTAGCAGCTAAGGTTGTATGGAAATCCAGAAAGAAGGCATCTTTGTGTCTAGGAAAAAGTTCTAGGTGGGAGTCCAGGAGAGGGAGATCTTTTCATTTGCTTTGGAACATTGGCCAAGCCACCAGGCCTCTGATCTGGGTGTCGTTGTGTGATCTGTAATATAAAGGTGAGGAGGGATGCTAAAAGAAGTGGGTGACTCAGGCCCTGCCGGCTGTACCAGGCTTTGTCTGAGTCAGTCCGTGATTTTATCTGGGAATGGGGAGTGGAGCAGTTACCCACCGTTTATAACTTGCCTTCCCTACCTTCCCAGAAATGTGCCAGATAATTAGTGATGGTAGGAACCACCTTTACTTCCAGGCACAGGCTTTATAACATATTTCTCATCTTCAACATCTTGTACTGTATTCACTCTAAGCTAAAGGTGACTAGGTTATCATGGTATTTCTGTAGTAGAGACACCACTCTGAAAATAGGGCCTGCTGTACATGCTGTTTTCATTTTCAGATTCAGATAAGCTCTACCAAGCAGCACTCCAGCCACGGACCCTGTGTGGGGTGAGAAGTCAAGGGTTTCACAGTTTATAGTCCAGGACAAGCGGTCGTATGAACAGCGTCCACACTTTGGAGGTAGAAGGATGAAACTGAGGTCGCACCCAGCCTTACGTGCACCCCATGTGCAAATGCAGGGGGCACAGGCTGCACACACGTGTCCCCTCCAGGCTCTGCAAAGGTGGTACAGCCCCGACTGGGTGCACCTTATGGTGGGATGGTCTTTCTCTATCAAACTGTCCTGGTGCCAGTTATCGCATCCTCTGCCGCCAGAGTGCCGTGTTCTGCGTATCGCCTCATTTTTTTTCTCTTTAAATTTTTTTTATTGTTATGTTAATCACCATACATTACATCATTAGTTTGT